AACGAACGAACGAACGAACAAACGAAAGAACGAAAGAAAGAAGGGACAAATGAATGAATTAATAAATGAATGAATAGATGAATAAAAGAATGAAAAAATAAAAGAAAGAAAGAATACATGAGGAAAAGGAAAAATAAATTATTTGAATGAATGAACAAATGAGAAAGCTTAGATTTCATTATTCTACTTTAGTTGCTTTTCTCATTCGGTAAACCTGTGTTTTATGATTTAATAATACTCATCTGCACAGGTTTAGCCTCGTTTACTACAGCGATGTTTTGAAATCCCACGGGCTTTTCAGGAATGGTATCTGTGAATAGATGACTTATACCAAAGGCTAAACCAGTGCAAATGAATCCGTGGTCTCCCAAAATAGCAAATACTAAACTGGGCTCGGTCGTACAAGGGTGATACTGAAGCGCTATCCTTTGGAAAAAATCAGTATCCAGTGAATAAATCTATAAGCGAATGCTTTGTTCACCAGAAGTGAAAATAAACTACAATTTTGGTTTCGTTACCTAGCAACCATAACTATGACAGTAGCATTCTCGTTCCCAAACCCTTCTCAGTTGCTTTGTAACGAGAAATGTGCTGAGAAGGGTCTGGTAACGAGAATGAGACAGTGGGAGGATGTTGATCTTGTACGTTTAATACTCCAGTTTCCATTTCTTTGTTGCTCAGGGTTAGCCTCGACTTACTGTAAAATATTCATGTGTTCCAGCCAAGGTCAGTGGAATTTCAAAGTGTTTGCATTGTTGAAGTTGTGTGCGTTCTTTACTTTATCGTTGGTATTTGTGAAAATTTAGACACTGATACGAGGCTAACCCTGAGTAAATGAATCTGTAATCAAGAAACACAGCGGTAAAATTGGAACTCGAAAAGGCGTATTAGGAATCTTGCTAAGGTTGTCCATTTCTTTTCTTTACTGTTTGCAAATGATTATCTTTTGTTCCTAAAAGTGATATATTTTCTTGCCTTATATTTCTATACTTCTATCAGAGCTACATGAAGAGCTGCAAAGGAGTGCATGTACACACACACAAAACAGCAACAACAAAGATGACGACAACAACAAAAACAACAACAAACCTAGAAAAAAAACAGAAAACAAACAAACAAAAAGCAAACGGTTGATATAAATAAAATCTTGTCTTTTATTATAACGCTTGGCATATAATGATTGTATTCATATTGATAGAAAATCTCTTCACTCACTTTCAATATCAACATAAAACTATGAATTTCATCAAATTACTAATCGACTTGATATATAATTATGTATTGGACGGTAAGGGACCAATGAGAGACCGCCACGTCATACTACCTAAACACGTTATTCCTAAATGAATCTAATTATAATTTTATATGAACATTTGTGTTGTGACGTTTTTTGAACGTTTAGCAAAAGGAAAAAGTTTGTTTTGGATATGTCAATATTTGTCCTTTCCTCTTTTTTCCTAATCTAATTTGTTCCAACTAAGCTGATATTTCATCGATACTCATTGTTTTATACATTACTAGGTATAAACAAGTAAACTCACATTATTGCATTGAACATTCGTAAAGGAATTGAGCAAATATAATGTTCTGCAGCCATTTTGGATGATTTAATTTATGTTTCAAGGAAAAAATAGGTTTTTATCTCAGCAAAGATGGCGGCAATGACGTCAAATGCAAAAGAAGCCCCAAAGGACTACTTATTATAACCTGCTGATTTCTAATTAATTTTCAATATTTTCTAACTGGCACAAAATGAGCAAATGAGCATTGTGCAATTTTTCTTTGGATGCCATTAAACGATTCACCACGAACTATCGCAGAGTGCTTCCTAATGGATTGCCTTCTTGGCTGGTCACGTGACATGCTGCTTTTCCTTATATGGTGTTGACACTTGTAAAAATGTTAGTGTCCAGTCATTTTATTGGTAGCTTGGTGAAGATTATGGTAAAAAAAATTTATTCCTGCGGAAAAAAAAAATCAAACAAGCGTAAAAATACAATTAAATGAAAAAGTTGCTATCGTTGACAAGATTGGACATTGTCAAATAAGCGTTTCTTCCTCATTACTGATTTTTAGTGCCAATGGCCCATTATCAGGCTACGATTGATCATAAATAATCAACGGTAAAAATTTGTACATATGTTAAAAAGAATGCCTTCGAAACGACTCCTAGTAGAATCAGAAAAGGGCCACCGGCTCAAAAGCTTGGTAATGAAAATCAGTAATACTGGTTGAAGAAACGTTTATTTGAAAAAACAAAAGTAGTGCCTTTTATAATTCTACGGTCGATACAAACCGAGACAAAGTACAATTTCTCATATTTTTCCTGCCGTCTATCGAGTTTTAGACAGAGACATGAATGCGTATGCTGGCCTTTCCGAGGTTGTGACGCGCGCGAAATCACGGGGCTTTTCTAGGGACGTGTAATGTTTCAATATTGCAGAAAGCAAACTCTCTTGAAATATAGACCGAAAACCAAAGTCAAAGTGACCCGATTCAAAAACTAAAACCTGTAAGACGAAGTAGACAAATGCTGTCCCCCAACACAGACCCATGATACAGCGCGCAACCTACTCGTTACCAGTTTTCCACATCGGAAAATCCAATATTGAAGAATGTTACGGCATTAGGAATTGTTACAGAAACAAGAAAAAGTATCTTGTCTTCTTTGCTTTTCATTAACTTGTGCAATGCAATAGCATAGTCGGTACTCAAAAAAATTGTCGATGAAAACTATTATAATGAATGAGGAGAAAAGCATTCAAGAAATGCCTAGGATCGCCCCTAAGGTCAAAAGATATCCCTATCACCTACGATTTTCTCTTTTACTTTAGATAGGTTTAAACCTTCTCAAGAGATTGTCAATGCTTTGTTGACTGTTATCAAAAATAAGAGGCTCTCCGTAAGTTTTCAAATGAAATCGAACCAACAAACAGGAACTTTCTAGGAACGTCACTGTAAGCGAGAGATATTCTTCGCACTTTCATCTTTTAGATTTTTAAACTTTGTCAAGAGATTGTCAATGCTTTGATGCCTATCATTAAGAATGAGAAATTCCGTAGGTCTTATAATGAAATCGAATGTCTCCGACTCACCTCTAAGGGGCGTTCTTTATGTGTCTATTCAAGGTCTTGTCTGTTTTTGGAATTTTAGACTTTGACGTTTGGACATTAACGTTCACTGACGGCCGTTGATCGTTAAAGTTGTCAATTAAATGGTTAACAGGCCAACCGGGGACCCCAGGGTTTGTTTCCATCTCCGGTGGTACTGATGGGTATGGCGAAAACGGTGTTTGGGCGGAATAAAAAGGCATTATGGGAAACACTGAGGGTGCCCCCATTCCAAATGGTCCTACTGGAGGACCGCCTTGGGGTGCAAGGTCAAATCCAGAAGGTGATTGGACGAAAGGTGTTTGTGACCTTCCTTCACCTGGAGCTGCAGCATCATTCATCGGAGCTTGAGGCATCATTGGAGGTGGTATTCCCATGGGAAGCATTGGCGGCAGAAATGGTGCAGGACCCCTTTCAGGTTGGAGATTCAATCGTTGTTGAATCAAAGGGTTTGGAAGGCCAGCATTTTGAAGAAACTGTAACACATTTTGTCTAGTGTCGGGTTCTTGCTGCCTTAGCAACGGAAGTGGTGGTGGTTGCTGGGCTGCCTGTGCGGCCGTAATAGCTGACTGATCGTCTTGGAACATGGCTTGGTTTCCGGGAATAGCTGGATTGTTCAACAATGTGTTCTGATTGGTTTGCAATGGTGGAGGGGGTGGAGGTAAATTCGCTGCAAAAGGGTTGTCTACTCCACCATCATTAAGGCTTGGCTGTCCTTCTCCAGGATTCTGGTTACCTCCTGCATTCCCGGGAAACACATCGATCGGTTTCTCACCATTGTTATTAGCATTGCCGGTTGAAAACATAACGGGCGGGTTTTTGGGTCTCTTCAGCAGATCACCTAGCAGCTTTGGTCCACGGCGCCTCTCTAGAATATTGTTGATCAGGTCTCCTAATTGTCTTTTTTGTTTTCTATTCGTTGATTTTGAATTGTGTTGTCGTTCATGCATTTGGTTTGTCAGAGATCTTCGGGACCGGGCAGGAACCTATAATAACAAACGTCCGAAATAAAACTTAAACTCCTAAGAAAGGCATCAAAGCATTGACTATCGTATGAACATGCTGTCAGCAAACAGTCATGCAAATTGCGTAATAAATAGTACTCGATCAATTTTGTTAGTACAGATATTTTCTTGCTAGCTAGTGACTCATGAGTAAAAGCTCGCCTCCTCGTGACGTCATAGATGTCGCCACAAGAAGGCAACGTGATTAATGGAAAATATTGGGAACATAACTTGAAGCCAAGCATCTTCGAGAAAGAGAAATAAAATCATTTTCGACTGAGGAATTGAAATCATCTCGTTGATAAGGTTATTAATCCTTTCGCCTTTTTGAAGCTGAAAAGACGACTCTTATGGCCTCCTAGCCCTACTTAATCTTGCCCCACAACCATATGTACAACAAGGTCTTTAGCAGACTTCCTTTGAAATTCAGAAAGGCGAAAGTAGACAAATGTTTTGGCTTCCTTAACATAGTTTTTCGAAGCTCCAGCTTGAAATTTGACCTTACCACAGATGACGTATTCAGGATTTTCCATTGAGGAGATTTACTACCCATTGAACAATCACGATGTAGAGTGAAAAAAAGAGCCAATCAGAAGAGTGCAGAATTAATAAAATATTTATCTTAACTAATCGCAATGCTTTGTTAACGTCTAAGTTGTTGTCAAAGGTGTAATAAATATTGCTTGCTCCTGATTAGTATTGGGATCCTTTGATGTCACTTCACATTGTGATGAGTTACTTTGGTATCCTTTTAATTTGTCCCCATAGTAGGTATCTTCGCCTAGAAACATATTTTTTATAATTTATTTTTTAATCTACATAATATTACTTGCTGTTGTGTCCGTGTACCTTCAGTTACTTTGGAATGAAATGTCCAACAGAACGTACTGTGGAAATATGGAGAATACTCTTACCTGCTTTTGGTTGGCGACGGCCTGGGAATCAGGAACACTGGATCGGCCATCATATGCTTTGACAATGTTGTTAACGTCTGCTCGACCTAATGGACTGAACAGTGGCACAGTTCCGAACAACTGCCTCTTCGTAATAGTTTTATCCTTTTTGCTGCTTGCTGCTTTCTTGTCTTGTGACGTTATCTTTGCTGAACCTTTGCCAATGGAGGACTTGGCTACTTGAACGCTTACGTGGACTTTTGGCCGATGACCAAGATAGGCTACACCTGCTTCACTTGCTTGGTTGAATTCATTGGCTTCGGACTGAACGTGATTCAGTGGTTCTTCAATCTGGGTGACATGTTGCTGGGGCTCAACATAAGCAGCTTCTGGGTCTTGAATAACTTGAGTCTGTTGCTGTGAAACAACCTGTTCAGGACCTTGTTGATACTGGTTTATAACCCGAGGAACTTGTTCTTGAGCTCCTTGTTCTGTAATTAACCCCAAGCTTGGAATCCCAGCTTGTGCTCTTTCGACAGCAAAAGGCATTACAAACTGTCGCTTACGAGGCACCAAATTTTTCATCTTTGAAAGCGACGACTTTTTCTTTGGCATTTCAACGGCTTTCTCGGGCATCTTAGATGAAGTTTTAGAACTACCACTAGTCTTTCCATTCAAAGCTCTTTTTACAATTTGAATGTATCGTTTTTGATCTTTCTTGCCTTGTTCTTTATCCTCTGTTATTTTATATTCCTTGGAATTGTTTTGGTCTTTTGGAAACTTTATCTCTTGCGGCAATTCGTTCATACCGTAGATTTGCCTTTTAACTTTCTTTGTTTTGACATCAGTTTTTTTGCTTTTTTCAGCATCATTGGACGAGACGCCTGACTTCTTGGTGCCAGATTGTATGTTTTTGATGTTGACCTTGCTTGGAATAGCATGCTTCCTCTGCATTTGAAGTTCATTGATGATCATACCGTTTACGCCATGAATTTGACTTTCTTTTCGCGGTTCGCTGCCGGCAAATGAAGGCACTGCTACCCCATTCTGAAGAAATCGTTGAGGCAACACTTGCATGGCTGGTACTCTTTCAAAAAGTGAAATCTTTTGACGCTTGTCTCCATTTTTGAGTATATTTTCACCTGGCACTACTTGTTTTTCAGTGTTGCTTGGCTCTTCAGTCTTTTTCTTCTGAACCTTTACCCTCGGGAGTTTGGATTTTGCAGTATTCACATTTACATTAATGGTTCCTTGTTGTTGTGGTGGTTGTTCTGGGAAGAAAGATGCCATTGGAGACTGCTGGGGGAAAGTCAGCGGTATTTGCTGTGCTGGAAACGGAACGAATGGCAAAGGTGCAAAAGGTCTCAGCAAAGGTACTGGATGTGGAGCTACCACAGGTGGTGTAAAGAAAAAGGGTCTTGAAGGCCCTGGTGCCAACAGTGGTTCCCGTTCTAGTGGTATTTGTGGGCCAGGAGGGAAGAATGGTACTTGTCCTCGAAGGCGAAGCATTTGTTCTTCATTCACCGGCATTTCCATTCTGTTCTGTCCTTGCATCTCTTGAAATTGAGCAAAGTTAGGAACCTGTTCTACATTGTTAGGTTGTAAACTTGCGACTGGAAGATCTTGTTGCTTTTCCTGCATGAATTCTTGTTGCAGTCCTTCTTGATTCTGCGGTTCTTGAGGAGTGTTCCCTTGAAAAAACGCCTTGCTTGGGGATTGCTGATCTTGTTGTTCGGCTATTGCTCCGTTGAGTCCTCCTGGACCAATCTCATTTAATCCCTCAGCACCACCATTAACCGTAGAAAACTGATTGCTCTGTCCATTTTCAAATAGCGAAGCATCCGGATTATCAGGATTCATTTGAATCAAGTTAGATTGTTCGTTTCTAACTCCTACAGATTGAGGTGCGAATTCGTCCCGTTTGCTGTTGCTTCCTTTAATTTCTTTCCTTTTCATCTTTTTATCAGCACCATTTTTCGTGGATCGTTTGGGTTTACTAACTTTACTTCTCTTTAGGGGTAAAAAAGAAGACAGAGGCCCAGATATCGGTATATCATATCGTCCAGTTGTAAGGGGTGACTGAGGAAGATAATTCAACATCTGTCTCTTGCTTCGTACGATTATGTCACGAGGCGATGACCCAGGAATGTTGGATTTCGAAGCATGAACTTCAACATCGACTTTTGGACGCTTGTGATTGAAGGTTTCACCTGTGTAGTACTCGTAAAGATTGGTTAAGTACTGTTTTATTAGTTCTGTGTTTTGAGATTCAGGGTCGCTTTCGTCTTCATCTTCCATCTTCATATTTTCGTTTTCCTGATTTCGACGGAAGAACAAGGGGTTCATATTCCAATAGGGGTTATAAGCTCCATAACCACGAGCAAGATAGTTGAGTGCTAAAGCATAAGGGTTTATCATTTGTGGTAGTAGTTGTCGCTTGCTTCGCCTCTTAGTCACGCTCTTCTTTTTTCTTTTGGATTTTGGAATACTGGATCGCATGGATTGAACATTAATATTGACGTGTGGTCGTTGTTGTGGTGGAAAGTTCATCAAAGGATACGAAGGTAACATCATTGGATGATAACCAAGGTACTGTGGGAGTATCTGTTGGGGTAACTGTGGAGGCGCCTCGTGAAGGACTGGTGCAACTGGCGCTTGATTGTAAAAAAGATGGGTCGCAGCGCCGAACATATCAGGTTGCATCATGGGAAGGACTTGACGTCTATGACGGCTCCCTTTCTTTTTCTTTTTATCAGGAATAGTAGATCTCTCTGTTTCAACATGAACATTGACCCCTGGAGGCTTGACCGCTGGGTAACCAGGAAATAAAGGAGCTTGTTGCAGGGGCTGAAAAAATGGTAGTCTTGGATATATAGCTGAAGGAGATGCTATCATTGGAGCAGCTGCATGTCCATATGGCTGAATAGACCTTTGAAGTGCTAAGGCATTGGGATTCGCGTAGTTCATGGGAGCTTGAGCCCCAGGATTAATCAACAACTGTCTCTTCTTCTTTTGGGATTGGGAATCCAGGTCTCTTTTAGCAACATAGTGTTCATAATCAGTACTCGGTACACCCGGTATGGTAGACATTTTCTGCAGACGTTCTACAATAGGGCCTTTTGGATGAGCAATATTTAATGGAGACACGGGCAGAAACAGAGAATGAGAGCCTAAAAGCTGTCTTTTAGTGATTGTTTTGCTACGCTGATCTTCGTCTGTGATGACTGTATGCGTGTTTTCCTTTTTGATTGGCGTTTCTGTCTTAGTTATTGTCGACTTTGTAGAAGTTGAATCTTTACTGGTAAATTCAGTTTCTTTGTCGGACTTTTTGGCATGCTCGATATTTGATCTGTGGAGCATGCGGTAGCCGTGGTAACCACCGTGATAGCCACCATGGAACTCACCATGGTAACCTAGGTAATCATCCTGGTAACCTTCATGACCACCATGATAATCATAACCATCGTCAAAGTGTTCAACATGTGATGGTATTCCAATATAACTTGTCTGGTGGGATACAGTCGAACCACGGGGCTCGTACATCGCGCTATGATGAACGACAAACGTGTCATGCGAGTGTATGATTGGTTGATGAACGGCTGGTGGAGGCTGATGGAATACAATAGAAGGTTGATGATACACGACAGCAGGTCTGTGGACTACGACTGGGGGTTGGTGGTAGATAATTGGAGGTCTGTGAACGACGATAGGAGCACGGTGTACAACAATGTCAGGTCTGTGGTATACTTCGGGCGGAGGATGATAGATGATGGGAGGACGGTTCACTACGATGTCATTTTTCTTGTCCGCCTTGACGTCCTTTTCAACTTCAGGGTGTAAAATGTTAACCTTTTTTGAAGCGTTTTCCTGTCTTCCTGTTTTACTATTTTTTGTTCCCTTGTGAGCTTTTTTATTCTTGGAAGACTTGGTTTTCTCTACTTTCGATTTCCCATATCCAGCAACTACATGTCCATAGCCGTATCCCCAGCCTCCATCAAAACCATGAGGCGCCCCAACATAGGTACCTGCATGCGTCACGTCACTAGCAAAAGGCTCGTAGTTCGTGTGCGGGACATATGTATCATGAAAGTACAGAACTGGTTGGTGCACAAATGGGGGAGGCTGGTGAAGCACTACTGGAGATTGATGATACAACACGGCAGGCTTATGCACAACTACAGGAGCTTGATGAACCACTATAGGTGGTCTGTGGATCACTACATTCGGTCGATGAATAACTACATCCGGTCGGTGATAGACCTCGGGTGGGGGATGGAACATGATAGGAGCTCTATTCATCACTACTACATTCTTTTTAAGTCCCTTGTGATGACGGCTATGAGATTTGACACGATTTGAATATTTGTTTTTTGATGACAAACTACGAGATTTGCGGGTACGTTTGGCGCCTTTACTAGCAACAGCTTTGTGAACCTTCTTTGTTACTTTTCCCTTAGGAGCTCTTTCCACGTCCGATTTAGCAAACGCTGGTCCAAAAGGACCTACAGCTTGTGGTGTATAACCTTGAGCACCTGCAATCCCATTTGCATTAAATGGCACGGGACCATGGAATCCGGGTCCATTATATGTAAATGGACCATGAAACATTCCTGCTCCTGGCCCAAAACCATTCCATGGTCCACTTGGGTGCATCATGGGTCCAAGCCCATATCCATATCCCCATCCACCGCCAAAGAAGTGCGGAGCACCAACATAGGTTTGACCATGTTGAATATGAGACGCAAATGGCTCATAAAATCTATGCGCAATATAACTGTCATGAGAATGTAGAACATTCTGATGCACCAGAGGTGGCGGTTGATGGAAAACAACTGGCGGTGGGTGATAAATTACAGGGGCACGATGGACGACAACAGATGATTGGTGGTAGACTATAGAGGGCTGGTGGTACACTAGATCTGGTCTGTGGACAACAATATTTGGCCGGTCATATATTTCTGGTGGTGGGTGGTATATCATTGGGGGTCGCTGAATGAGAACCAGGTTTTTCTTTGCGCCTTTAACTGTATTTTTAGAATCTTTAGAGGGATGGCCATGGAGATTCTTCTTTGATCCTTTCACAGACCTCCTCTGAAGAACCTTGTGAAACATTTGAAATATTGAGTGTTTCTTTTTCTTGTCTTCAGTAGTGTCTCTCTTTGTTTTGTTGTGATGAGATTTCTTTGTCTTTTCAACCTTGGATTTCCCAAAGGCATGCCCATGTCCATGTCCATAGCCCCAGCCCCATCCGCCTCCGAAGAAATGCGGTGCACCAACATATGTACCCCCATGGACCACATGAGCATGGAAAGGTTCGTAAAAATGATGAGCTAGATACGTATCATGGGTGTGAACTATAGGCTGATGTACCATTGGTGTTGGTTGATGGAATACTATTGGAGGCTGATGATACACCACAGATGGTCGATGAAGGACAACAGGAGACTGATGGAATACTACAGATGGTCTATGAATGACTATGTCTGGTCTATGGAGAACGACGTCTGGGCGATGATAGATCTCTGGAGGTGGATGGTAGACAACTGGAGGCCGACGCATTATCACTATATTCTTTTTGTGTCCATTTTTATGACTCTTGGTACTTAAGCTTCGCCTATTTTTAACTTTCGATTTTGTTTTGCTTTCATTTTCATTGTCATCGTCATCATCGTCATCATCGTCATCGTCCTCTTCGTCATCATTTTCATTCTCATTTTTGTCTTTTTTGTTTGTCTTTTTAGAAGATTTTGTTTTCTTAGCAGTTTTTCCATTGGCAGTATCCTCAACCTTAGATTTTCCAAAGGCGTGCCCAGCATGATATCCATAACCCCAACCCCATCCTCCATGGTAGAAGTGTGGAGCACCAACATACGTTCCAGCATGAGTAACATGTGCCCCAGCTGGTTCATAATAATGGTGAGGAAGATAGGTTTCATGAGAGTGCAGGATTGGTTGGTGTACCATTGGAGTTGGCTGATGGAACACGATGGGTGGCTGATGGTACACCACTGGTGGACGATGGACAACAACTGCAGATTGATGGAATACCACGGATGGTCTGTGGATAACGATGTCTGGTCTATGGAGTATTACATCAGGACGGTGGTATACTTCCGGTGGTGGATGATATATGACGGGAGGTCGCCTCATTATGACCAGATTTTTCTTATGTCCAGGTGCCTCACCCTTAGATGATTTTGAGGTCTTAGTTTTCTTCTCGATCTTTTTACTTTTGTCTTCGAGATCTCGCCTCGACCGTTGCTTGGCAGGTTTTGCGTTTTTCTTTACATTACTCAATTTTTTAGGACTTTTGGTAACTTTTGATTTTACGAATGCAGGTCCAAAGCCGGTCCCAAAGCCACCATATCCATACCCAAATCCTCCGCCAAAAAAGTGAGGTGCACCAACATAGCTCCCTGCGTGCTCAACATGAGACGCATATGGCTCGTAAAACGGATGTCCAACATAGGTATCATGAGAGTGTATTATAGGGTGATGTACCATGGGTGCTGGCTGATGAAAGACAACAGGTGGTTCGTGATATATTACTGGAGGTCTGTGGAGTACAACTGATGGCTGATGGTAAACGACGGACGGTCTATGGATGACTATGTCAGGTCTGTGCACTACTAAATCCGGGCGGTGATAAATCTCAGGCGGCGGGTGATAAATCATGGGTGGACGGTGTGCAATTACAATATTCTTCTTATCACCTTTTCCGCTTGATTTCCTGAAGCCTGCGTGTTCTTTATTCGATATATTTTTTGTCACTGTTGATCGTTTGACTTTCTTTCCTTTGCTCTTAGCCTTTGGGACTTTTGATTTACCGAATGCAGGACCCCAAGCATGTGGAGCGACTCCCAAGCCACCAGGGTAATAGTGTGGCGACCCAACATATGTTCCAGCATGTTGTATACTAGAAGCAATAGGTTCGTGATATGTGTGGGCAACATAAGAGTCATGCGCATGTAGTACTGGCTGAGTGTTTAATGGTGGAGGCTGATGAAATACAACTGGAGGTTGTTGGTATATTACAGGAGGTCTATGAATAACCACTGACGGTTGATGATACACAATGGATGGTCGATGGATTACCAAGTCTGGACGATGGACCACGACATCCGGTTGGTCATAGATTTCTGGAGGGGGATGATATATCATAGGAGGTCGATGTATAAGAACCATGTTTTTCTTGCTACCAGTTTTAGATGATTTTTTCTGGGTTTCTGTTGAACGCCGACTTTTATTTTTTGATTTCTTTTGAGGTTTGTTGATCTTTTCAATCTTTGATTTGCCAAATGCAGGACCAAAGCCGGGTCCAAAGCCAGGTCCAAAGCCGGGTCCAAAGCCGGGTCCAAAGCCGGGTCCAAAGTCATGTCCAAAGTCATGTCCAAAGCCACCATATCCATACCCAAATCCTCCGCCAAAGAAGTGAGGTGCACCAACATAGCTCCCTGCGTGCTCAACATGAGACGCATATGGCTCGTAAAACGGATGTCCAACATAGGTATCATGAGAGTGTATTATAGGGTGATGTACCATGGGTGCTGGCTGATGAAAAACAACCGGTGGTTCGTGATATATTACTGGAGGTCTGTGGAGTACAACTGATGGTTGGTGGTATACGATTGATGGTCTATGGATGACTAAATCTGGACGATGAACCACAACGTCAGGACGGTCATAGATCTCAGGAGGTGGGTGATAGATCATCGGTGGACGGTGAACTACAATCATATTTTTTCTTTCACCTTTCTTTTGTTTCTTTACAGCTTTTCTTTTAGCATTTTGTTTGATACTTCTTTTGCTCTTTCCCTTGGCAGCCACTCTTGACTTGGTGTACGCGGGCTCACCAACTGCAGGGGTGTTTTCACCAAGGTAGATTTGTGATAAGGGATCGGTTATAAACGACTCATGCTGTTCCATTAGTGTATATGCAGGGTCTAAACCGTGATAAGCATGACGTTTCAGGTCTTTATGATGCCGATGATGATGATGATGATGATGCTTGTTTGATCTCTTATGACGAATCTTTCCGTGTTTTGACTTTTTGCTGGCATTTTCTTCATGCGCCTTCTTCTTTTTGTGTTCTTTGGAATTCTTCTTGGAAGCTTTTTGCACCACTGATCTACCAAAAGCAGGACCAAATGGTAGGCCGAACCCCGGACCAGCACCAAGTGGGCCATGGAATCCCTGCATACCCCAGCCATAAGCATTAGTGCCGGGATAAAAATGAGGTGCACCCACATACGAGCCTGCATGCTGTATGAAACTACTGTGAGGTTCTAAATACTGATGAGCCACGTACGCGTCGTGTGATTTGATAATTGGTTGGTGGTTTAAAGGCGGTGGTTGATGGAACACTACGGGAGGTTGTCGATATACGATAGGAGGTCTGTGAATTACCACTGATGGTTGGTGAAAAACAACGGATGGCCTGTGAATAACAAGATCTGGACGATGGACGACAATGTCTGGTCGATCGTAGATTTCAGGAGGTGGATGGTAGATCATAGGCGGTCTGTAAACAAGTACGTTGTTTTTGCGTTCACCTTTTGACGGCTTAGATTTGTGCGTTTTGACTTGTCTTGAAGGAATTTCATCCTCTCCTGAAATTTCACCACTGGCTTCGTCTTGGTTTTGGTCTTCCTCACTTGATCTGGTGTCCTTTTTGGAGTCCTTATCATTTGGTCTTTGCACTTTACCTCTTTTAAAATGATATCCTGCTAAAGGTGGTATTATATGCCCGAATTGATGATCTAGCAAAGGTCCTGGGTAGTTCTCTACTCCACCTTGAGGGATGCCAATGTAGTGCCCACCTTCATTGACAACAGAGTTAATATGCTGTGCTACGGATGTAGGATGTAATATAAATTGATCATGTGAATACAGCAGTGGCTGGTTGACTGATGGTGGTGGCTGATGGAAAACAATAGGTGGTTGATGATAAACGACTGCAGGGCGATGTACAACTACTGGGGGCTGATGGTACACAATAGGGGGCCTATGGATTAGAATCGGAGCACGATGTACAATGATTTCAGGTCTGTGATACACTTCCGGCGGAGGATGGTAAATAATTGGAGGACGGCTTACGACAACATCTTTCTTTTTCTTCTTATTCGCCTTTCTTTTCTTTAACGATTTCTTGTTTCTTTTATTCAGTTCTTTGGCATGCATGCTACTGGAATCTGCAACAGAGCGTTTGGGCCGATTAGTATAACTTGCCGAATAGAATCCTTCAGATTCCTTAAGTAGGTTTTCAGAAACCTTAAAATCATATGAACTTGGTCCCGCGGGATCAGAATCGGGTCCCGAAGAAAACTTGTATTTCCCGCTAGAATCACTTATTCCTTGACTATTCACCATAAGGTCAGAAGCAAACTTATCGCTAAGGATTTTTGTTGAATCACTCTTTTCAACTTCACGATATGAACGACGTTTGTTGGTTTGGATTTTCGGAACCTTACTCTTCCCACACCACCCTCCGTGGCACCCGCACCCATGACACTGATGCATATGGATGATGTGAGATGGAAAATGATGAATATAGGACGAGTGGTGGATCATCATATGAGGTCCTTTATGGATGACTATAGGTGGGCGATGGATGAGCCATGGGTGATGATGTATTACGTATGGCATTCGATGGATGAGTATGGGTGGACGATGAAACATGAGATCGGGCCTATGAACAATCAAAGGCATCCTATGTATTAAGACAGGCGGACGATGAATGATAATCGGCATCCGATGAACCAGTATTGGTGGTCTGTGAATGATTAATGGATGTCGATGGACTATGAATGGTGGTCTATGAACCATGATATTTGGTCTGTGAATCACGTGACTTGGTGGATGAAAGAGGATTGGAGGTCGGCGTATGATAATGACTGTCTTTTTACTGGGATTCTTACTATACTTCAGTGAAGTATCTGTGACATTATTGGTGGCTGAACGTTTCTTTATTCTATTTATATATTTCTTTACTCCATTCTTACTTTGTCCTTTATCCCCATTGCTTATCCCCAACCCTAAATCACTTTCGCTTCTTTTTATTACAATATTAACGTCCTCACCTAAGTTGGATATCCAGGACTGTTCGACCGCACGTCTGATGCGTTCTCCCGCTCCGATTGGCTGATTAACATCAATGTGGTTTTCTGCAACTCCAAAAGGAAGATCGTCTTCTTCTATGGATCGTCTGCTTCTTTTGATAGCTCTTTGGGAATCTTCGGCTTTAGCAACGTTGTCGCTTTTGATTTTGTCACGCTTGTGACCTTTATGTAACGGTAACACGGATTTAGCAAATGCACCGTGACCAATACCTTCCATATAAATTTCTTCATGAGGGACACCATGATAGTTCACCATATGAGTGACGTGACTCCCAACCGGAACTGCTACTGAGTGCGTGACATAGTTGTCATGAGAATGCATGATTGGCTGATGAACCATTGGTGGTGGTTGATGGAATACGATAGATGGTTGATGGTAGACTATAGCTGGACGATGTACAACAACAGGAGGTTGGTGATAAATGATTGGTGCACGATAAAGTACGATAGGTGCCCGATGCACCACGATGTCGGGCCGATGATAAATCTCCGGAGGGGGATGATAAATTATAGGCGGTCTGTGAATAACAACAGAGTTCTTCTTACTTCCATTTACGGTAGTTTCTTGTTGCTTTTCTGTTGATATTTTAGATATCTTGTCCTTTTTTGATGCTGATTCAGTTCTTGGTTTTGCTTTGTGGAGCTTGGACTTTGTATTGTCTTCAGGAACTACTTCGATGTCTAGTTCCCCGTATGCACTACCCGAGCCACTTTCAATCATTTTAATATCATCATCATCATCATCATCATCATCATCACCACTGCTCTCAAGGTCGTCTCCGTCATGTTCAGATGCTTTATCATGCTTGATTTCATCGCGGGCAGCCGGCTTTTCTTCCTTATTAGGAACCTTGGATTTTCCATAAGCCATATAATGAAGGTGATTGTGTCCGTGGTAGTACGCATGCGGATACTGTGTTATAGCACCCAAATTATGCACTGTAGACCCATACAGTTTGACAGCAGGGCGAGTCACCCATGTGTCATGTGACTTCATGATTGGTTGATGCACCATAGGCATTGGTTGATGGAAGAAAATATTAGGTTGGTGGTAGACGATGGCAGGTCTATGTACGATGACCGGAGGCTGGTGATAAACTATAGGCGCACGATGTACCAGGATAGGTGGACGGTGTACTACGATGTCAGGTCGATGGAAGATCTCGGGTGGCGGATGGTAGATAATCGGGGGTCGCTTCACCATCACAGAATTCTTTCTTTTGGCTTTTTCTTCCTTTAAATGCTTGTGTTTTAAGCTTTTCTTGACTGTGTTTTTCTTGGTGTTGGATATATTATCCCGTTGAGCACCCTTAACGTTTTTGGGAACTTCAGACTTGTAGTATGCATGTTGGTTATCATCGCCGCCCCATTGATTATGGAAATTCATATAAGCATGTTTGGGTGTACCAACGTATGCGGTGTGATGAGTCACGTGACTTGAAATAGGGACTGGAACCGAGTGTGTGACCCATGTATCGTGTGACGTAATCAACGGTTGATGAACAGCTGGTGGTGGTTGATGGAACACTAACGATGGTTGATGGTATACTATAGCAGGCCTGTGCACTACTACAGGAGGCTGATGGTAGACGATTGGTGCCCTATGGATCATGATAGGAGCTCTGTGGACCACTATGTCAGGACGGTGATATATCTCTGGTGGAGGATGGTAAATAATCGGAGGTCTGCGAATAACTACTGAGTTCTTTTTGTGCGGGTTCTCTGTACTTGCCTTCTTGTGGTGTAACTTGCTCTTCTTGATTGGTTTCTCTGATGAAGACTTTTTGGAAGATTTAAGTTTATTTTTTGAGGGTTTTGATATCTTGGATCTTTTGCCCATTCCTGAGTGGAAGAGTGGTGCTCCATAATTAGATACAATGTTTGGAATACCAATATAGTGTCCGTAGTCCCTGACAACCGATCCGTGATGAGTGGCATAGAATGAAGGGTGTATCGTGAACGAATCATGTGAGAACAACAAAGGCTGACTTACAGCTGGCGGGGGCTGATGGAACACGATGGGTGGCTGATGGTACACTACAGCAGGACGATGCACAATCACCGGTGGCTGATGGTATATTATGGGTGGACGATGAATAACTAATGGTGGTCTGTGAACCACAATGTCAGGACGATGATAGACCTCCGGCGGAGGATGATAAATGATTGGCGGGCGGTTGACAACTACATCTTTCTTTTTCTTCTTTTTGATAAAATTAACAACACCATCATCATAACGCGAGTCATCATCATCTAAGTTACGCTTCTTGCGTGACGTCCTATCGTCAAGTATTTGATCGAGAAAATTGTTGTAATGCGGTATCTTGTTGCGCTTATTAAGCAGAGTTGGTTCAAAATCTTTGTAAGTCAACGCCTCGGAGGAAGCTTTCTTGGATGAAATGATGTCAAACTCATCCTCTACATGACGTTTTGCTTTGGGTTTCCAATACTGACTCAAATAGTCTAAATTGTCTAGATATCTGGTGTAAACGTCACGCTTTGGTCTTAAAGGGTTTTCTTCATGACTTGTTTCACTCTTCTTGAAGATCTTCCCTTGAATTTCAGCTCTTACGGTTTTAACATTGCGCGGGACGCTATGCTTCCGAAAAGCGTCGCCATGGAAACCTTCATGGTAATCACCATGGAAATCGCCATCGCCATGGTAACCATCGTAGCCAGAAAACACGTGATTTGGTATTCCTAGATAGCTTGTTGCGTGAGATACGGATGAACTAGAATGCAGTACTACAGGTCTGCTGACATAGGTATCGTGTGAGTGCATGATTGGTTGATGGACCACGGGCGGTGGTTGATGGAAGACAATTGATGGCTGATGATATATTATAGCAGGCCGATGTACAACTACGGGAGGTTGATGGTAGATAATTGAAGGTCGATGTAACATGATGGGTGCCCGGTGTACTACGATATCCGGTCGGTGATAAATCTCCGGCGGCGGGTGATATATGATAGGTGGTCTGTGAATAACGATATTATTCTTTCGGTTCCCTTTCTGTTCTTTAATCTTCTGAGGACGTAACTTTTTTACTGTTTTCTTTTTTAATTCAGTTTCGGCTGATCTACGTGAACGATGTTTACTTTTTATCGTGGGATTTCCGGCATGTGCCACTGTAGAATTCTGGAGGTTGGAGTGTTTAAGAATCTTCGTTCGCTTTTTAGCAGTAGCTTTAGTTTTCTTCTTAGGTGAAAGTTTTGCCTTAACGTGGTGTTTTTTATGGGTGCCTTGGATCGCGGCCTTCTTGACGTGAAATCTTGGTTCAGAGTAGACATTTCTTGGTCCTAGAGAACGAGTTATACCGTTAAATTGTTCCTGGCCACCAAGTTGGTCATTCATTCCCATCATTTCAAGCATTCCAGGTGCATTCATCCCGAGTCCGTTCAATCCAGGTCCGTTCATCCCAGGCACTAAGGGTCCATTCATTCCAAATCCTCCCATTCCAAAGCCACCCACACTGGGCATTCCATTAAATGCATTCATTCCATTCATTCCAAACATGTTAGCAGCCTCACCCTGCAAAACCCCTGGGGGTGGATTCCCGTATACGTTTACCGGGGGAGGTACGGGAGTAACTATATCATGTCGTACAAATTGCCTTGGTCTTCGAGGAATGTGAAACCTTGACTCGGGCATTTCGTAGAATCCAAATCGTCGTCTGCCATACGTTCCTCGTAGGTACGGTCCACGGAATCGTCTCCGGTATATCGGGTTATACATGCTAGGCATGTCTTCGACTTCGGAACGGTCGTAAAGTTCCGGTATGTGATACCTGTGGTGGCGGTGATGACGACGATGATGGTAACCATAGGGATTATCGAAGGCCCGACGGTAAAACGGAACATCTTCGGAATCATCGAAGTAGTGTCGGGAATGATGGCGAGGAGGCGGGATCCATGCTCTGCAAAACAACGATCACATTATTTAGAAAACTTATTTTCATTGCTTTTTATTAACCCTTGTGTTTCTTATTTGTGCTTATGCTTTTTTCGCACTAGGTTTATGCAATACTAGATCACGTGATCATGACCGATCACGTGATCACGATGAATGATTTTTGATCGACTACACTTCAAGATGATAATGCTAATGCTAATGCTAATGCTAATGCTAATGCTAATGCTAATGCTAATGCTAATG